CAACAAAAGGCTCTGCTCAACATTGAAGTAAACTCGAAGACTTTAGAAAACTGAAATTTTCTCCAGTTAACGTTACAACTGCTGCATTGCAGAACTAGATCCCGATGACTAATCTAACTCTGAATGAAATGTAACGGTTTAGTCATTGAATATTAACTGAATATTGAATATTAACTAACCGACTAACTGGGTCAAGGTAGAACTTTTCACAGATGTTCAGAAGTTTGAGTTACTACACTTCACTTAGTACACAAAGTAGGATAAGAGAGTTAAGAGAGATTAACAGGAGGGATAATAAACAGAACTGTCAGTCAGGGAAAAAGAATAGTAACACGGAATAACAGTAGAATTTTATAAAACACAAAGAGTGAATGCATCTGCACCAGGCCAGCCGTTGACAACGATTTCCAGCAGTATCACCAATTCTCTTCAGCCATTGGTGTTTACCATCCCGAGGACCACAACCAGGAAGTCTACACCTCCCTATGTGACTGGCTTAAACTAACTGTTGTGGATTTAATTGACTGATGAAGTCATGTTTTGGTTTGACCACCACTAGCTAATTCTTTTCCAACCTGATCCATTCTATGTCAGCTAACATTCTCAGTCGAGGAAGGCGAAACACACGTTCTAGCCATCTCAATCGATGTGACTTCACAACCTCATCGACTGATCAGTATGTCTTAGTGAAATGACAACTCAGTGTTATATTTTTCAAAGTTTGATATGAAGGTTTTGTTAGTTAACTTAGATAACCATCACACAGTAAAGAGATAGACTGGTTGTCAACTAGCAATAGATTAACATGGTAAAAACACATTATTCTTAAAAGACTATAATAAAAATAAACAGTTCCATTATAGATAAGATTTTATTTTGATAAATCACACATAGTCTGTCAAACAGTAATATTAACTAGTGACGTGTGTGTGATTTATCAAAATAAAATCTTATCTATAATGGAGTTATACTCTACCACAGTGCCCAAGTTTTATACTAATATCAAAATGAATAATGGTCTAACTTCACCCAAAGAATAAATAAATTTAATTAATAAAACTGAACTTTACAAACTAGCTCTAATTAGTGAATCACGATAAAAATGAATGTTCAACAAAAATCAGTCCGTAATGAATGCCGCAGAAGTTTAAAGAAGCCGTGTTTCTTTGATTTGTCTGTTGAACATATTCTTTTCATGAGTTGATTTGTAGGGATTTGAGTTGTCTTTCAGGTTTGACCCCGGATTGAACCATCGAAAACCAAGGAGTGCTGGACAGCTGTTTTGTCCCATTTTAGGACTCATCTGTGGTATTCACCCAGGACCTTCCGGTCACAAGGCAAGCTTGTAGACCATTCAGCCACTGTGACCCAATTCAATAGCCCATGAGTTCTAACTTCTATGTAACACAGTGAAACACTATTATTTTCTGGATGACATTGCATACTATCACAGTGTTTATGTCTTGTCATGTTTTGGAAGCTTTCCTTCTTAATAAATATAAAAAAATTACCCTATATCTTTGGTATATGACTGAAGAAAAGGATCATTTTTGACAATTATTTTATGTATTTAATTCCTTTGGTCGAAATGAAAACATACAAAAGTAATTATATCAACACTAAGTTATGAGATGAATGAATAATCTGTATTCGATACTCTCTAAGCTAATCTGAGATATCTGGCTTAATTTCTAAAATCATGTGAAAACCTAACCACTAAATCGACAGTAATCAATATGATACCATCTAATTGAAACTACCGGTAAGATTTGGGCTATGAAGTTTAACATGAGGCTCTTAGACTCTGTGATGTGACACTTGATGAATACAATTTAAGCAATCAAATACGTATTTCAGTAAACGAGGAGAATGCAAGTGGAATAATATTAATAATAAATTGTAAAACGAAGATTAAAATATACAAGTTTAGCACAGAATCATATTCATTAAAAAGTTAATAGTACAAATAAAAGTAATATTTACAGTTATCCGATATCATCCTCGATAACTATTCTCAATCGAGGTAGAAGGCCATGGGAAGTACAGAGACTGAACAAACGTTTTCTAAATACAAAGATCAGGCTGAAAATTGTTTATGGCGACTACCTCAGCTATGCTTAATAATCAAAGGTATACAAACTCAGGGAGTTATTGAGGTGGTACCTTGTATAGAATTGTAGAGACGGAGTTTCTATCAGTTCTGTAATCCGTATCCACAAAGTAAGCTAATATGGAACTCCCAATTGGCTTTACACTCCTGTACTTAACCACATTGGACAATGCTCAAGAAGGAGACTGTGGGTTTGCCAAAGGGTTGATTTGAATTTTCTAAGGAAGTGTATGATGCTGGGAACGAATCCTAGGGATGCAGAGAATGATTCTTCTCAAGAACATTCACAATAAAACAATTTTCTCTTCACCACTTTTCGTCTCTGAGTTAGATTGATAAAATTTTATCATAATCTTTAGTCTCAACTTTCGCTGTTATTGAGCACTAATTGATTTGGTTTATCAGTGCTCTAAAACAAAAAGCTAGCATTAATTCACGTATTCCAACAAACTAAATGTTGAATCAATTCATTGATTTATGTATACTACATAAAGTATATAACCTAACAAACAAATCATAGGGTGAAACTTCTAATTAACTGACTTCAAGGCATTAGAAATACTCTGAAACTAAGCCTATTGAATGATCGATTTATGTGTTGAACGACCTATACAAGATTTTAATGAACATGTCAATATTTTAATCAGAGGTATTTTGGCAAGTCGTTCCTGACCTCCCAGTTTTCTGAATCACCTGAGCTGCATTGCACTGATGTTCTGGATGACGAGTGACAATATTTCATTCATAGTAAACAATGTCTTGTATGGTATGTCAATAACTGAAAGTACATATACACAGACTGTGTTTTGTTCTTTTCTGTTTCAGACTGACATTCATTTATAATAATAATAATAACGATAATAATAATAATAATAGGGTTCAAGGGTGCATTAAAATATTTTCTTTAGAATCTATTTGTCTATCAGACTACTATTTATTATTCCAATGTTGGTTTGTAGGAATTTGATTGGTTACAAGATTACATCATGAACTGACGTTGGTTAGAGAACCATTGGAAAACCTGTAGGGAGTACTGGACAGACAGCTGTTTCGACAGCCTAGTTTGCGACCCTTCAGCAGTAAGCACCCAACACCACGGTTCGAACCCGCGACCTTCTGATTACAAGGCAGGCTCGTAGACCATTAAACCACTGGGACTCGATCCAATCACCTGTCCATGAATTCCAACCTCAGCTAATTCACAATATAGTGCAACTTCTGGTGAATGTTATCGCTGGCGAGTATTTCTGTTCAAACCTGAAGGTCCTGGGTGCTCATCCTGGTGGCTGATTACCGCTGAAGACCCCTAAACCAAGGGAAACAACTGATCAGTACTCCCAGGTTTTCTAATGGTTCTCTAACCAGTGGTGGCTTATGACGAAATCCTGTTACCATTTTTTAAATGATACCTTTCCATCGCACATATCATGTGCTCAAATATCAGCATTCTTGTTCCAAAAAAAGAGGATAAAAGAAATTGTCCAAATTATTTCAGCTAAAAATCAAAAATTTCGTGTGATAAGACTAGTTTTCTTTCTCAGCCGATCTATTATTGAAAATTTATATTGACTAGAAGCAATTATTTGTGCCACAAACATTAGTAAACAAATAAAATTGTACAACTCTGTGCTGTATAAATAAAATTATGCTTATATGAAAAATAACTTTTAATTAATCCCATTGAATATTGAAACATATTGCACGTCTATTCAAGAAGATTAATAAACTAGGTTAAGCAAGAAAGGTGTCAACTGCTATAATAACCAATAGCACAGTTATGTTAACTGATAAGTTCATCTGTAAGCATTCTTACAATTCTGAAAAGGACCCAACTATTTATTTGTGTTCCTAATGGTTGAAGCTACTGTAGCGGTTAAAAAAATTCCCCGAAATTACCTGACTACAGCACTCTCCACTCAACATTAGATGCTGACCATCACTTTCTAAGTCAACTCGTTACGCTGAAAGTTTGCAGTTAAGCATCACCGTCACTTGGCACACTGTCGTGTTACATTCGTGCAATCAACATTGCACGATTCTTATCCAGAAATATATATATATACTTCAGGTATTGGTTTTATAGCATTTTGTTTGACTGCATGGAGGATTTCATCATCAACTGATGTCAGCTCATGATGAAATCCTCCAAGCAATATATATATATATCTCGTTTCGGAGGACCGATTTGGTGTTTCAATTTTTCTTTGGTCTAAGCGGAACAAGTACTATAGGAATTGAAGGATAAGAACTTGTATTTATATACAACGTATTTTGTGTAAACATCGGCATCCCTTTATCTCACAAACTGTGATGAGAGCTGGCTGTTAGCCAAAATTGATGGACAATAATTTACGTCAGTGTTTATGTCCCCAATATTGGTCGTGAGAAAAATGAGGACAAAGACTTTGCGTAGGCGGATACAGTTAACATATAGATGATCTGACATTCAAAAAACAGCACCGAAGAGATGAAAGGTTAACTTTCTGTGAGAAAAATCCAATCAGAAGACTGCGTCTTTCTGCTAACAATAATCTATTATAATGCACATGAAATATGTGTTGATTTCCTTAATAAATGATCTGTTTCCTGGCCCTTGTCTTCTGTTGTTACAAAACTACTTTCGACAGTTCAAGAATTTTCACTTTTTTAACATAAAAGTGAAACAAAATTATTCAGACCAAGGTTTTAAATAAGAAATTTATGTTAGAAGAATATGGGGAAGTCGATCATAGAACGATGAATCATGCAGCAAAAAGATAAATCCATCATTTTGTGAACCCCTTTCAGTTAGGTTCATTTATCTCAGCAGATGAGCAGCAAAAAGTTACCTAGATTTGTAATAAAAATACACATGGCCATTGATGTCTGAACGAGGCGACTTTTGATTTTGATAACACTCAAATATGTACAATATTATGCAAGCCACTAATACACACATTCAAAAGATGTTTGTTTCACCATTCAGTCTTACTCATCAATTTTTCATTTTGGATTTACTATCTTCATTTATTGATTACATTTTATTTTTGTGCTATTTATACCAAGATTATCTTCCCAGACGTCCGAAAAAATTTATTTTATTGTATAGGTGAACTTCAACCCCTGGAAGAATTATTCTGAAGGTGCTTCACATTCACAGTGGATATAAATTTGTGAAGAAAATCTTTTCTTTAAAGTTTATACTCACTTGAAGAGTAACAAGGCAGTATTTAAGTATATCAACTATGTGGTCTTTTAGTCATCAGTAATCCACTGTCATGTGTTTGTGTGTGATATGTTGTTTAAAAATTCGTTAAATCGATAATTAAAATATTCTGTAATATAAATATATATATTTACTTGTATGACTAGCTTATTTATACACAGTAGCATTGAAGAGGAAAAAAAATACTCTATGGGTACTTTGTCCAGAGAACTTGAATCAAGTTTAGAAAGACATACTAGATTTACAGAAACACAAATTGGAGCTTTAGTTTTTCATGATCATAATGATCAAAAATATTATCGTAACTATCAGTTTGACGAGGATATGGATATAGTACGCCGGTTTGTAACTCGAAATCTTTGTGGAGAATATCCTCCAGTAACTTTACGTTATTTTGCACAGAATTGGCCTGAACTCTGTATAATAGTAAGTGAATATAGTATGCTTTGTAAATTAAAAAACTTTTTCTTTTAAAATTCTACCTTATGATAGATAGTCAGGAATTTCAATTTAACATCCACTGATTATAAGAAGTTAGCTAATGTGATAAGTCAAAATGGTAGGATAACCCAAATATGACTTAAATTCGCTATGCATATGTTTAATGCTTATTAGCAGTATGTCTCATCTGGTGGTCAGGCGGACAGTAACACAAAAGTTTGCTAAGAAGTTACTGAATGATGTACACTTACGAATTCTTAAGCGAGTATGGTCTTGTATAATTACCGGAAGTATGGACTGAAAAAGTAAATAAGCTATTTAAATCAGTGGGGACAGTGAGGGCAAACACTTGCTGAATACATCGCGCTATGTCGTGAATTGGCAGAAGTTAGAATTCATGGGCCATTTTAATCGAGTCCCAGTGACTGAATGGTCCAAGAGCTTGCTAGCCTTGTAACCAGAAGGTGCTGGGTTCGAACCCCAGTGGGTATGTACTGCTGAAGAGTCCCAAATTAGTCTGACGAAACAGCTGTCCAGTACTCCCAGGTTTTCTAATGATTCTCTAACCAATGTCAGCTCATGATGAAATCCTGTAACCAATCAAATCCCTACAAACCAACACTTGAGTAAATCAGAAATACTGAACTTTTGTGATGTGAATGTAAATATGTAATGTTCTGTAATAACAATTATATGAGTAACTAAGTACATCTACCGAATACACTAGCTAGCTCTCTATATTAACAATAGTCCATCATTTTCTCTGACAATGGAATTAAAATAAAAAAGGGTATCAAACGAGAAAATGATCAACTGGAATAATAATGAGAACATCAAAAACCGACTAATTTCGACTATATTACTAGTGCCTGATGATGTGATGACGTAGTTATACTTATGTAAGTCAGAGTGAGTTCAGTGGTAGGACACTGACCAACCATGGAAATGTCCCAGGGTTCGACTGCCGGTCGACAAATGCCTAAACCTCTCTTAACCGGTAAAGAAGCAAGACTGGGCTTAAGGCTAGCAACCCCACCCCGTAGTAGGAAGCACCAGTGCTTCCGAAACTTCAAAGATGAAGTTTAAAGCCCTATATTCCACTGGAAACACAAAGAAATAAAATAATAATACGTGATTTGGCGCGACCCCAACCATTGTCGTAGGTGGGACATCCATCCATACACGTGACATCTAACTGGACCTCACTGGTCACGACTTCTCATTAGAACTAACTCCCGGAAACTCCATCCTGTAGCAAGTCACTAGCGAGCATCAGATTAATTTTCTATAGTTTGGTTCGTAAGGAATTCGTGAGCCAGTGAATGGTATACGAGCTCGCTGGTCTTGTAACCGGAAGGTCCTGGGTTCGAGCCCCAGTGAGTACTGCCGATGATTCCCAAACTAGGATGAAGCAGCTGTCCAGTACTCCCTGGCTTTCAATGGTTCTCTAACTGATGTCAATCCGTGATCAACTCATAAAAACAAAACTAACCATTACAAACCAAACTACAGATAATAATAATAATATAATTCAGAGCAGAATTTTCAAGTGAAATTGATCAACTAACTGAACACACTTGTATATTTTCTACTTTAAAATGTCATGTTTTATGGGTACAAAATAGATATGATAGAGAAGATTTGTAGCTCGGGTGGATGATTTTGATGTGGTTGTGTTCTCTGAGCTGGATAGTTAATTTGCGAAGCTTTCATGGCCCTACTAGGCGACACCTTCAGCGCATACTTCAATTTGAAGTGAGCTTTTAGACTTCTTCACGAGTTTATTAATCATCTCTCCCGGTGACCTTGGACGTGATTGGTTGCTTTTGTGTTTTCACACTTTCTAGGTTACTTGTATTGGAACTGATTGTCTCTTTGACTTGAACTTTGACCCTTTGTGTGTGAGGTTTCTTTCTTATTGGTTAATTAATTTTGTCTAGCTCGATGTGTCTATTGATTGATGATTCACCGGAATATCAGGCTTCTAAAAATTCTCCAGCATTCTTGTTGTTTTCTCTGTCTAATATTTGAACGTTGTCCCAGTCGAATTGATGTTCGTGGTTGTCTGTATGTAGTCACATCAAACTGAAGTATGTGCTGAAAATGTCGCCTAGTAGGGCGATGAAAGCTGCTTCACAAATTAACTATCCAGCTCAGAGAGCACAACCACCTCAAGATACAAAATAATTCAGAACATACTTCTGTGCACTAAACTCAACCCTTATAGTTGTTTCCAATGTTTCAGTGATGCCAGAAGTATCGTGTGCTATCACAAACAAACTATTTATTTAATCTATGCTAGTATCAGGTCGGTAACTGACTAATAAGAATTCCTACAATTTTACATAAAACGACATAGTCAAAGTCAATTAAACTAAAAGTATTTTTTATATGTTATTTATTATTTTCATATCATGTATACGTCATTAACTGAAACGGCTTATTTAAATGACGTGAGTGGAAAGACAAACAATTTAATGTTGTTGTTATAAAAATTCGTTCAGCCAATCTCAGAAACACATTTCTAGGGTTATAAAATAAGCTAACTATATAATAGTGATACAAGTATCAAATATTGAGGTTTTTCCATATAATTTTGAGGAAAAAACAAGTTTAATTACGAGAACGAAGTTAAGAATTATCATCTTTACTCTTTATCTGAGTAGTGTATGTCATCCTCAAATCCCGAACAGTAAGGAATTTCAACTGACCCTCTAAAGTTGTCTGTATGCGTGTAATCGAGGAGGAAATGTTGTAAATCAAAAGGTGGGAAGGCCCAGTAAAGACCATCTTTTATCTGTTACAGTTCGTTCCAAACAAGTAGAACATGGAAATCAAGAAAGGCGGAGGTATATCAGTAAAAACAAGAATGATTACAGGATTTCATCATTAGCTGACATTGGTTAGAGAACCATTGGAAAATGTGGGAGTACTGGACAGCTGTTTCGTCCTGGTTTGGGACTCTCCAGCAGCGCGTACCCACCGGGGTTCGAACCCACGAGCTTCTGGTTACAGAACAAGAATGATATGAATAGAGAAGGAAAAGATTGGGAGTTTTAAACATATTGAAAAATAGGCTTGATTTATGGCAGTATATTTTGAACTGCAAAATAAAATTTGATACATTAAAAAAAACATTGGCTAGTATTCTATATTCGATTTATTCCAAAGTCTGAAACTTTGTAATAAACGTTGCTAACTTTCCAGTAAGAAAGTCTTGTTCAAAATTTTGGTGAGGTAAGAGAATATAATTCAAGAGCTTTGCCCAAAACACATTAAGAAATGGTTTTCCTGAAAACAAGAATACCTCCTGATAAAAGACACCTCACTAAATACAGCTATTAGTCCGGTCACAGAAAATGAGACTACAGAGGTATACTGTCAGGAAATCTCCAAAAGCAGTTTAATGTCCTATAAAATTAATTTTTAAAATAGATATGCAACTATGGATTAATTATGACTTGAACATACAACCGTCAGAATAGCAGACTGTATTGACTTTCAAGTGATACCAACATATGTAGAAATTTTTGTGGTCGGAAGCTTGTAACAATAAATAACCATGCATCCTAAATTAAAACATAGGGACAATTCCACACCCATAATGGATTGTGAAGGGTGTCCTCATTAGTTGGTTCTGATCATTCCATACCAAATATGATGCATATAAGTGGGGTTCAAACTAAACTGTCTGTACATGAAATGTTAGACAGAACTTAGAAGTAGACGTAGTGAAGCATGGATGAATTGCAGCTTCAATAGAATTCACGTGATGATTTAATGCTGTAACTGGAAGCGATTTCATAAATTGATCGGGTTGTTGGTAACCAATAAAGCGACTCTACTAAAGTCTAGAATACTGTAAATGTATTCTACGAATCTAATGTCATTCATGGGTACATTATTTAGACGTTATGTGACAAGTGTTCAAAATAGTGAAATCGATAGATAATGTATATAATATCAAAGTGAAGATTTTAGGAAAAGTATAAGTTCGATAGTAAATTTTTGTAATTTTTCCTATGCATGTGACGTGATTTTTCAATATAAACCAAAGAGATTTTGTAACAAACACAAAACATAATTAGGCCAGGGATTCAATTCATAATATTTGAAATAAACATGAATCTGACTAATTGAAAGGGAATTTTTTTATTACAGCTTAATTCCACACTGTATTTTTGGTACAAATATGGAATTTTCAGCATGGACATCGGTAGCCCAAATTTTGCAGGCCGACCATAGATATCAGGTGTGAGTCGGCAGGCGATCGAACCTCGGACCATGAGCATGGTCGGCGAGAGTCCTAACCACTGTGCCACCGACGCACAAACAAACACACACACACACACCCAAAGCAGTCATACGGTAAATATTAGAATTTAAATAATGCAGGAAACATTGGCATTAATTTTCGCCAACAACACCGATAAAAAACTCCAAATGGTGCAGTCAACTTTTTTGGAATCAATGAAATTCGCTGATCCAAGTGAAGTAGACAGCTAAGAAGTAACAGAATGACAGGTTCAAGAAATTTTCTTGAATAGCTATTAATCTGTTCATAAGCTAATTCAAGTGACCAGTTCCCACAGACCTGGAGTCCTCAAAGTTCATTTTCACTAAACTGATGATTTCTCTTCTGATGATTTGCAGTGATCTGTTCTTGAAGTCCTACAGATTTCACTGAAAAAACAATAAGCATTTCATTTTTCAAAAATAAAAATTATTAACTTAACAAAGATATATACATATATTTTTCCGAAATATATCTTTGCTGAGCCATCTGGATTTTCGCTGAAAAATAAAAGAATAAAGACTTGGAAGAAATGTAGATAAGGTAGTAGCATATGCAGACATCGGACACCAGAATCTAACTTATTTGCTGACTAGTAGTGTATGGATAGTAGTAACATGAGTGTTTTTCACTCTGCCCCTTGTGGGGTTATAGCCTTTTTCAGCCTTTCAAGAGTACGGTGCTCTATAGTTGTGGAAGAAAACTAAAACCATAAAATTCTACTTTTCTCCGAAATATTTAATTTATCCAATAATAACAATTTAATGAATAAGTTAACAAATATTTACAGAGGACTCTTCTATGATCAACCTTTCTTTTTCAGGCCTTTACCGATACGCACATCCCAATTGGTATTATAATTGGTCAACAGACAGAACCTCATGTTGGAAGAATAACATTTTTTGCTGTTGAAAAACGCGTAGAAGCTAATATTGTCTGTAAGTTGAGATAGCATGCTAACGCAAACAATGCTTTTCTAGATAAAAAGTTACTACAATTAGAAGTTATGAAAATGCATCAAATTGGAATAAGGAAAGTAAGCGATATCTATAGTACAAAAGAATAACTTGAAATTTAGGTGTTTTTAAAACCAGCCGATGAGCGTATGGAGATGAAACTAATGCGGTATATAGGATCCACGGGACCTTTGCGATATAAAGATGACAATGGAGAATATCAATTTCATATATAAAAAAAAGAAACGAGATACCTGTATTTCGTTGTTTTATTTGATCAACTCCATAAAATAAATATTCTGTGTTAAAGGGAACTGTACAAAATTTCACTCTTTTATTTACAAACTTTCAAGTGACAAATTATTCAGAATTCATTTAAGAAACCATTGAAAGTCAAATGCATAAATCAAAATTGACGTAATTCTATACAGAGCTATGGACACTAAATAAAGGAGAATAAAAGATTCTTTCACCGGGAGTGCATAAAGTTACATGAATGTCCATTTCGACATCCTCCTTGTTGGAAAAACTTGCAGGGTTGACCATTTCTCATTCGAGAATTTCCACGAGGAAAAGATGGGGCACGAGAAGGAGGGCCGTTATAGGGTGGTATCGGATTTTGCGTAAAGTTAGGCAATGGTGGTGGACTTGGTGACGGAAAAGGGGGTCTGTTGGGATTACGATTTATAGGCCCAAAACTAGGAGGGTTAGGAGGGCACAGCCTGGGACCATGGGGAGGAGGTGGGAAATCGGACCTGGGGATAGGGTTGGAATAACGTGGAGGGCAATTAAAAGGTGGACGGTAAGCCTGGTGAGGCGAAGGGGGGTCCATTGGGCATTCAGAATACTGCATTGGTGCCCTCGGAGGACATGAACTGCGAAAGTGGAAGATACCTCGTGCCACCAGTTGATCTCGTAGTGGCTCAAGAAGATCACGGATACGCTCAGCACTCAGTTCGTGAACATCAATATCTGGATAATTTTTCTCGAGGACTTCCCACAGCTCCTTTTGTAACATTTGGTCAATAGGAGGAGTGACATCAGTTCCACGGATAGACTCAGAGTTTGGACTGTCAACGTTTGATTGAGGCCCATTACGCATGAAATTTGACTGTGAAGGGAATTCTGAGCAGCTTGTAGGATCTACACCATAATTACTTTGGGGAGGAATTTTTTGATGCATATCAGATGAAGAACTGGTTAGATTAGCAGCTAAGGACTTCACCAAGTTAGCGACTTCAGGATTTAAAGACATCTGTAAAAGTAAAGGTGCATCAGAATAAATGAATGAGTAATTTTGAATGAAATCGATACATCCAGACAAATCAATAATGAGACAGAAATACAAAATTACATAGTGTATGTGAGAGTTGTGATACATTGAATTCTCGAAAGCTGATATGTATTATCTTATTTTCCGTCTTCAATAATTATATTAATTCGAAAATAAGCACATTTTCCTTCATACACAAGCGTAGGCGTTATTGGCACTCTTCACTTCACGACGGGTTTTCAAAAGTTAAAAAAAACGATAAAAGAAATGTGGCAAATTACTTGAATCACTAGGCTATCTGAACTGCTATTTAACACAATGCATAATATTTTCTCTAATTCTTATTGTTTTAATCATTCAAATTATGTCTCCAAGTCGTGTAGTGTATTTACGCACACTTTTGATTGGATTTCAAACTACCGATAAGTATTTCTCTTAGATGAAGGAAAATGTCTAGTGTATACTTCAAAATCGAACAGCAACATGTTACATGATGTATTACAGATGGCTATTTTATTTGCATATCCTGGATGAAGAGAAAATACTATGCGAAAAACTACACTGAGAATTCTGTGCATCGTGTGAACGTTTTGTGCAGAATAAATCCATTATCATTGCATTAGAAATTGTTTGGTGTCAATGCTAGGTGTGATAATTTCACGTTGAACATTTTATCATTCCGCTTTTAGGGCATTTTCGCCTCCGATTAGCCTAAAATAATTGATAGCATAAGAAAGCACACGAAGAGTCTTCTTTTTGTCTCAATTAACTGAGACAATTAAAATCACAAATTGGAAAGAGAGATTAGAGTTATCTTACAATAAGCAAACTCAAAAGCAAGAACAGGGTCTCCAGAAACAGTATTCAATCAAAACTGTAATTAACAGGTTAGAAGATATAGATGACTAATCCAGTCCACTTAGAAATATAAATTGACCGAGTGGATCATTTATGAAATAAGACAACAATCAGGAACCAGGAATTCGTTTTCAAATGATCAAGTGAGACTCAAGGTTAAAAGGCGCTATGACGAAAATCACTCCCCGGAATTACAACTAAATAAAGGTCAAACAAAAAGTGTAAGGATTCCTGAATGTCCACGCAGAAACTGAAAGCATTACCGACAGGATACAGACTTCCATCAACAGCTGCAGTAAAGGTGACTCAATATGAAAATCAGACAGCACACCAAAGAGGATAAGCAACAAGGAACTTTGGCTACGAATCAACCAAAACCCTATAGCCCAACGCATATGCACACGGAAGTAGATATAGGTTGAATATACACTGAGATGTTGAGTGAAATCGGACGTAAGACAGGTCGTCTAGTGGATCACGAAGAGAAGGCAACGGGTTGGGCGTGTCCAAGAGTGATGTGGAGGAGAATAAAACTTATGAAGACTTATGCAGTCAGTTGAAAATGACGGCAGAGAACAATGAATACGGGTTACTAAAGCCCTGTATTTCACTCAACACAAAAAGAAAGAATAATAAATACGAAAATGTTCATATATATGCTAAATATGCATACGTGAACATGCCTGGTGATAAAACGATCACAGTCAAATATCAAAGTCCAGAGAAAACTAAACGCTTTCCAAATGGTAAAATGTATAATATCACATATACTTAGAAAACTACTTATTTATATGTATTCGTCGGGATGTCACAGACACTGAATAAAAACAACGTTCGTTGCTAAAACATTTCACAGTTTAATACTATTTTGCTCTATCAGTAGTTATTGTATAACCAAATGTCTTTTTATCATCTATAAAGAGATCATCGACAACTGACAGTCAGGGTAAAATTATACAGATGTTACAATACGCTGTTTATTTCAACGAGTCAAGTATGAACGAATTCAACGTTTGGGAGATCCTTAAAATCTTAGTACAATGGATAATGACGTCACAGCCGTTGATCATTATTAACAATCCAGCAAGAAATACTTTTATAACTAGTTTTTATAGCTTATTGAATTGAATTTTTTGATTTTCCCGTCGATTGATTGGACTGAAGTGCTCGGTCTCAGGTTGACATATCGGCTTCTTGTGCAGATGCTTCGACGATGTCTGGGCATTTAGTTAGGATACAATTGGTGGATGGTGACCAGCAGTGGAATCCAGGATGCGCATTTCGTCCTATTTGGGACTCGTCAACTGGATGTACCTGCATTTCTCAGTGAGTGATGATGTTCCCACTGAGGCTCGAACCCAGTGCCCAAGTGGTCTAGTGGATAACGCTTTGGCGTTTGAAACTATGGGCACTGGGTTCGAGCCTCAGTGGGAACATCATCACTCACTGAGAAATGCAGGTACATCCAGATGACGAGTCCCAAATAGGACGAAATGCGCATCCTGGATTCCACTGCTGGTCACCATCCACCAATTGTATCCTAGTTTTTATAGCATTCAAACGGCACTTCTAGTTAAGCAACTTTTTTACCTTTAACTTGGTGTGCAAAATGATGCTAAGTTCTAACGCTGATGTTGTCTACCTATCAGTGAAAGAACAAGATAGCACAGTTACACTATTTCCCTTATTCAAAAAACAGATCAATAAGGGAAAACTAACTAATCAATAGTGGGACAACAGTAACTATGATCACATTAGAAAATATATTTTATTGAACGGTGAAGCATGTTTTTTCAGTGCTGTGAATTAAAATATCTTACACTATTCTTTAACTTTCCTTATCTCTTAAAATTTATGAATGCTTTATGCTTTCATTGAGTTTCTCTCGTTGTCAACTGAAAATATTCATAAAAGCTGGTACGTCTTCAGTGTGTCTCTTCAGGCAACCAAAAAAAAAAATTTGTTAGAAGATGGATACAGTATAGCAGTAAAAAAAAAATAATCGTATAACTGAGAATTATACTGAAATCCATACGAGGAAATTGACTTAAGTTGACAGAAAATTAGAATTGAAACTCACTTGTGAATTTCCCACAGAATCTTGGACAAGTAACTTTTCTGAATTGATTTGTGCGTTTTTATCAACTGATTCATAAACAGTGAGCTGAAAAATTACAAATCATGAATGAGTTTATTCTAATCAATCACATGATCAGTAAAAAATAATGAAGAAATCTTATCATTTTACATAGACATCTACTTGTGCTTGGAAAGCTATGCCAGTGGTAGCTCAAACAGTAATGAGATGAAAGATATATATATATATATATATATATATATATATATGAATGGTTTTACCCAGCTAACTGTTTTTTGGTGTGTGGTTGAACTTAAACTTTATTTATTTAAAATGATGATTGTGTTGATGTCTATCAGGTGATGGAAAGCTTTTCTGAAACTGCTCAATACGCTACCAATCATCTCTTTCATATTATGTAGTTAAATCACATCATTAACGATAGGCCACTGTATTTATTCTTCTTCAAAGAGAATTAATACTTTACATACAGGGTCAAGTCTGCTGGCCACTGTGATGAGTTAACTCTAATTGTGGAAACTAACGAAAAACCCTATAGCAACCTTGAACGCTTTATAACATAAAATATTTGATATATAAGTGGCCATCAATAGTGAACAAAATGATTTGTAGTAAGATATACTACAAACAATAGGATGAAAACTTCAGTTCTACCTTGACAATAAATACGTGATCTTTTCTAAAAGAAATTAGTGCCAGCATATATTACGGTAACCAACTTACATCATCCAATGGTATTTGAAGTGGAGGAACATGCTCCACGATCTCCATATCAGGTTCTTCAGGAGTTTGTGGGATGCTATCACGGGTGAAATACATTGCTTGAAGAACAAAACGTTCTCGTTCCAACTGTATTTGACGTTCAATAGATTTACAACCTGGTTCAACCAAGAAGATCCTTTCCAATGGATAAGGTGAATACCACTAAAGTGGAGAGTTTAAAACAAGAAACCAAATTACAATTGACAAAACAACAAAAACTAAAACGTTTTGCATATTAGTTTAAGTATACTAAGAGCGTAGAAATGAAATCACAAGTAACAAAGGTCAGAAGGTATATCCCGAAGTTCTCCATAGTCAGCATTGTACTAACTATAAAATGAAGAGATATAAGGAAAGATGGATTGTTTTATCCTACCGCATGCAAAGTAATTCTGAACTTGGGTGTCATATACACAGCAGAACAACTGACGAGTCGAAAACAGGAACATTACGTTCCAATGCCAATTGTTTGGCCAAAATCTATCACATGTCAATGAAGCACAGCTTCCTTTCAAAAGAAGTTTCCAGCTGTTTACATTTACAATTAAAAGAATCTAACTGATAAACACATGAGTAGCTTAAAAATCCCCATTGAGTCATATGAAAAAGCGAAGACGTTCAGAGAAGAGACTCTTTTCGGCGAATTCATTCACATAGCTGTACAATCGCATTTATATATAATTAGTGTGTGTACATGAGGTTTGTCAAATAATTATATATAAATGCAATTGTACAGCTATGTGAATGAATTCGCCGCGAAGAGTCTCTTCGCTGAACGTCTCCTCTTTTTTGATAAACATATAGCGGAGTCTGGAAGCGAAATGTATTAACATCCTGAAATCAATTCACAAAAGGTAATGATTTCTTAAACTTGAGGAAATCAGTTTCATAAAGTGCGGAAAACACGTCAATCCACTCATACATATTAAAATATCAATGTAGATTTCTCATTGAACCCACATCAATCAGTGAGTCACTGATATACCCGACCAGTAGCTGACACCTTATCGCGGTGACCTGGTTTGCGTATCGTAATGACCCAACGATCTGCACTGGCTGGAACGAACGTTCCTGCAAGTCAAAACCCTAAACAGCGATTACCGTCAAAATAAGTTATTTATACTAAATTATGAATCTCATCGTGAAGTCGAACTGCCGGTCGATCGAATGTAACACCAGGAAGGTGTTCCCTACAGAAGATGAGCCAGCCAACTATGCAATATTTCCTGTCCGATGAAAACAAACAGGAAACTGTCGTCCACAGAAACCGTAAATCTCAAATTATTGCCCAGCTATATACCCTCTCAAAGTTGTCGCGTAGGCTCTGCAGTCACACAACACCAAACCTTTTACTCTTTCGGCCGTTTCGGGAAGTTATCGACTTCAACGGATTGGAAGGTCGGGAAGTACCCACCGTCCAAACAATCCTATTAGTATAAGAATTTTATCTAGAAGGAGCATCAACAAGTGGCTGGGCAATCTGACACCTGTGGCAATTATAACCGGCCAAAACCCATCCGAAATCATATGGGAAGCAAAACAACATGATACAGACATAAAAAATTATCGTAATATGACGATGATACAAACTAGATGATAAGGTCCTCAGTAATACAGGTATGTGCACGAGCCAATATAACTCAGGACACTCGGACAGGCCAAACTAATTACTTTTAGTTGATCAGTTCGATATTATTTTCGACCATTGAATCTCGGGGAAAACTTAGGGCCTCAGTGGCACAGCCCGATTCCATAAGACTCTCTGCCATCAATTCCAACTTCACGTCTACCCACAGGTTTTCACTTCTTTTTCACATGATCCCCATGCCACTCTCAAACACACGCCTAATCCGTCACTAAAAAATTGTGTTCCACTCAATAAGGTGCTTTATTTATGATGTCACTCAACTGTCTCCATTGTATATGTCCAACGTCTCTCCATTTCTTCCCATATAGTTGTTGGGTAATTGACTCTTCTTTGCTCCGTTGCCAGATTTACTCATTTTCTCCATCCGTCTAATTTCTGATATAGAACGATACGAATGGAAGTCGGCAGTCGGTTGGAAATACTTTTGTGAACTCAGGCGCCAAGTGTTTAAACCATATAAAAGGAGTGAATTAACACTACTGTCCGAAATTCAGATCGTGATCCTTGCATTAGACATCGTAGATCTCCACACTGATCTCAGAGTAATGAACTGTATTGCTTTCTTGACCCGATCTTGGCTGGCTTAGACACTCATGCTTGTCACCTACTGAAGTCGAAAAGACGCTGTTCAAGTAGGGTAATTGAGAAAGGATTTCATTTACAATCTTGCCGCTGTTGGTGCTTACTGAAGTCATACCTTCACTGCCTTTTCTGTTAACTTGTTAGAATTCACCTTCAGAATTTCGAGTTTGTGGAGTGATAGATATAAGTTGTCCGCGAAGATCTTCCAGAGCCTCTCGAAGACCCACATCTTCTTGATTCCACCGGCCTGTTGCATGATTTAGTTCATACCAATAAGGGAGCTCATCGATGATAGTAGACAACTTGCCTTACTTTTAATACCTCCCTGTGGTTCCGCCGTGAATCACTCGGCATGTGGCACCACAACATAACTTCAAAATTTCACTGGACTGCAAACTGTAGTGTGGGGGCAGTTTCCAAATTACTTGACGATCAACGCTATCATGGGTCTCTGAAAAGTCGATGATATTGCGATATAGAGTTAAGCGCCAATCTATGCTCTGTTCGATGATAGCACGTGATGTCGCAATTCGCCCCACGCATAACTTGCTCTTTCAGAATCCAGACTGTTCCTGGCAGTTTTCCATCCAATGCATCTTTTAGTCCTACCAGGTCGATTCGGCGTAACATTTTGCTTAAGACAGACGGGAGCATATGTGCTGTCTCTTAAGTTTTGATTCTCCGGTAGCAGTCTTCTCATGGCTCAGTGGTTATCTTTCCTTCCTTCTACACCTCGACATGTCCACAGTGGTCTCCGGATTCCTTTCTAGTGAATCTAGGGGTATTCCACCTAACCCTCCTGATTGCCATGATTCCAAGGGAAAACAGTGAGCAAAAAATACACCAGTTTATATGGCCACAATCCCTGTCACACAAAAGCAAAGACAATTCCAGGGTACAGCAATCAATGTAAATATACAAGACAAAGAATAAGCCCATGCAGAATAATGAGAATCTGATGAACGTAGGTGTCAGTGGAACCTCGCCGTCGCACATGATTTGGGGACGACAGCCTCATGTCTTAATTTAACCACTACCAACTCTCTCCAAATTTAATCCTACATCAGCTATCATTGCTCGACGAGCAATGCGTAGAGGCATGTCATACGCAACGTAGGAACTAGATGTCTTAATCGAAACAGCTTCACAACTTCATCTAATGATTATCCCTTCCTACCCAGCATTGCAGCTAAACTCAGTTATACTCACCATATGCCAACTAAAACAGAAAGAACGAGAACACCTATGGTCAAAGGAAGCTAGCTTTATCATATCTTCCCTTCTTAACAGCCATGTTCTACAGCTACACAGAAGAACGTATATGAAGTCTCCTTCATAGACGACGTAAGTGATCAAGTGCAACAAGCGCCTCTTGTATCCGTACTGAGATTTTGTCAGCACATGGTCCATTAGGGCAGACATGACTTCACAAATAAATGGAGTGGTTGATATGATAGACTATTTCAACTCCTTATGAGAATTCTCCAAAGTCACAAGTTAGTCCTTGACTTCTCAAATTCAATTGCAGTCATATCCATTAGTACGTCTACGATAAAGTTGAACAAATACAGAGACATCGGGCATTTGCGAAGAATACCACTGATCACCACTTCTTGTGAACTCATAAGGCTGCGTGAGGTCAAGTGGGAAACCCTGATCAGTGCGACACCACCTTCACTCTAAACAATTACGAAAAAACGACTCCGTCGATAGAGCTGTTAGATCATATTTGTCAAGTGTTCAACGCAGATGAGCGTGCCTACATCCCAGAGTCTGTCAAAAGACGGATACTATCAGTACATCCCAGTACGAGACTAAACCTGTCTGATTTTCACTGGTGTTTCTCCCGAGCACTGCTTAGTCTACCCATGAACAATAAATCTGGAACTTAAGATACCAAGCTACTCATCTATGTCTATCACGAGAAGCCTTCTCTTTTTATAAGCCGGGATAATGGTTTGCACCAGCCCGATCGGACCATCTTGGGTTCCCACACACCACCTGGTATCACCAGTGAATCAAGACATTATTTACCCACCACTACCCCTGAGGCAACTACGCCAAATCCCCCTACTTTGCGTCATTTCAGATTAGGAACATTCTTCGTTGGCAAAATTAGAGTTAGTGAATCAGTGTCCACATACTAAGGAAGTGAGTATTGGATGCTGGATGAACTGAAAAGGGATCTAGGCCAACTAGGCTGGTTTTCCCGAACCGAATATGGAGGGCAGAAAGTGCGAGGCCCTTCCTGACAGTTGACTTCACAATTATCTAAAGCCTTGATAAATGCAACATTTCTCTTTTTAATCAGTTGAGAGTTACACCCAACCCGTGATCCCATTGCAGTCATACCATAGTGATCACACGCACTTAGTCGTCCACCGAGGCACATGAAGGTTAAACAAACGTAGCGGGTTTCACCCAACGGCTTCATAGAGTTCTTTCCATCAATAATACGTTCTCCAGAGTTTAAGCGGATTTCGTTTCGCTCACTGAAAGTCTATGGGAGTACGACCATAAATAATTCATCCTAGTGACAATCTGACAGCTGCTAAACACAGGCATCCACATAAACCAAAGTCCTAAAATCACCCCGCATCAAACGCGATCCCTTCTACCCTGCGAATCAGCTCAGAAGTTCAGTGTCATTAGCGTTTATGGTGAAAAGACGCCGTCTCAATAATGTTTGCGAAAGATGTAAGTGGTTGCGAGACAATAAGAGGTTAGTGAGATTGTACTGGAGTAGTGGCGAAGTTTGTTACATCTCATCATTCGGTCTGATTATTCTCAACACGAAGTTCATTTGTTGCATTTTGGTTGAATCTCAGCAGACTAGGAGCATGTAAACTAGGTAAATGGAAATAATTGATACTTTTACACATACTTTGAAGGAAGATACCACGATCGAGTATAAGAATCGTATTAACTACATCTGATCACCTGGATTTACGGTCTCAGAGCATCACGGATTCGAAGGTAATCGCTTGAAATAGCGAGATAATAGGTAGGTATGTATCCAACGTGGTCTTCACAGACTGAACTGTGTAAGAATTATAATAGCAGGAAGGTCGCTGTTTCAGAAAATCAGGTTCATTTGTATGACTCTTACACCCACTGTGGCTATATGAAGAAGTCGGTTGTTAGTTAAAAAGATTTATTTAGATAATACAAATATGTACAATAACTCTCGATACATCAAAATGAACCTCGGAGTTTAAACCTAGTAATTCATGAGATTTCAAAATAAAAGACTTGATCGAATAATAATACCTAAACTTGTCTAAAATATTATATCAATGAACCTAAGATATAAAACCTTAAAATGCTTCTAAACACCAGTGGCTTCAGAGAATCAAAGCCATCATAGCCTTGAGCTTCACTGAATTCAACTTACCTTTTGAGAATCAACCTCTGTGTCTTCATAAGATCGTTTGAAAAGCTGACGTTCCATGGAATGCTCCTTTCGACGAATGTCCTCAATAGATACACGATTTACATTTACTATACAAAATGTGATGCACACAGTGATGAATTAGAATCAAGAAAATATAAATTGCACGCAAATACATGCGTCGAAAATGTTACATCAATTTACCTCTTTCCGACTCATCTAGTTCAAAATAATGAAATATCTGCAGTTTGTCTTCATCAGCCCAAGAAACACGTTTTTTCGGCTTATTGTCTGCTGGAAATGCTGAATACAGACTAGATAATGAGGATTTTCTTGACCCCATTCCTCTAGATGAAGCTGGGGAAGACTCAGCTACACAGCTTTGGTCCGATATTTCCATGGAGCTTTCGTCTTTATTCTACTGAGCGTTAAGGTAACATAAAAAGAACATACTATAGAGAGGTCCGTCTGTACAACTGGTTCTATCCTTGTGGAAATCTTTCTTTTCTTGCGCACGACTGGACAGGGTGTTGTTGTTAATGCATTTATGAAATCTGAACTTTCATGCAACTCTACAAGTTTATTTAATGTCGAAGAAATATTTGATAAACCTTTGCGCGGTTCAGCTGGAGTAACAGTTATCTTCTGATGAAAGGACTCAATCGGAAGTTCAGCGGTAAGGTTACTACTTTGATCAATTTTGCTAAGAACCATAAGACTTTACCACATTAACATACCTCTTCTTAGCGAGTATATCTGACCTAGACTTCGGTTGCCCTTGGGCCGTATTTTCCTCTATCCCTGCAGTTCGCATATTATTAGGTGGGATTTTGACGGTTGTTCGCCGTTTCTTTTCATCTTTTGTTGTCTCATTTGTAAGAACCTCCTTGTTCAAACTCTTAGTTTCGTGTTCAAGTTTCTTCCTTTTTACATGAGAAGCTGAAAACTTATAGCACAACATCACTGGACCTACATTCCAACCGGCGGGAATCAGAACTGATCACCTCTTTCCATTTCTTAACGATGACACTAGCCACAGCTTTCACTTCTACATGATGAGAACATATTATACAATATATTTTACCTTCGTGGTCGCAACGTTTTGTAAGCGAGTTTATAAGTTTAGGACAAACATTTTGTGTTAGTTGCTCTAGTCGGACAGGCAAAAGTGAATATACGTTTAGAAGTTCCAAAAGGAATGCATAGTTGTCCTCTTTGAGGGCTTCTTGAAGCCATTTAAGTAGAATGTCCCATGCACCATCTCTACACAATTGCAGTTGAATTTCAGGTGTCGAAGAAGCAATAATGCGCAATGAAATGCACTTCGGAACTAGTTTGCGATTAGCAGAAGACATCAACTCCACCAACGCAGAGACTGATTGTTGCATGATCCCACCTGAGTCTGTCAGGTGCTCCGGTAGGCTTCAAGTAATCTCGTAGGTTCCATGACTGCCTAGAAATACAAAGACAAAAAATGCTCGCAGTGATAAACGCTTAAGAAAATATTCTGACCTAGTGTGTCGGCGACTTGCGCCCGCCCACACCCCAAGTGTTTTGTGATACATTCAAATACATAGGGATGTTCATCTAACAGCTTCGGGTGGTAGGCGACAGAAATCGGAAAGTCAGGCAATGTCACACTGCTAGAGCAGATAATGCGGTAGTTGACTGTGACAGAGAAGAATATATACATGCATGGACCCTGAGATAAATACAGTTTTCATCATGAACAAGGAAGACATGATAACTCGCGACATGCACACCTACTGCGGTTCGCATGATTGAGGGCAGTGTAAAAACATTGCATGTCTCACAATAACATGGACCTATGCAAAGAAACAAGGAAGCCACACATTCACTTCTCTCCTTACATTAACAGACAGGATACAGTAAACATGTTCACTACACTTCGAGTTATCTGCCTGCTGAAGTGAATAAATTATCCGCATTTTATAACTAATCACATATGTACCCCGAAATCTCATTTGGTTCTAGTATCTCAGATGCTACATTCATACCACTTGGCTACAATGTGAATCTGCAGTGGGCCGATAATTGATTGGGTTTATGTGTGCACAGAGCACACAGTAGTCCTTGAAGAAATATCACTATTTCCCGAAGGACTTAATTTGTAAGGGATGCGTTTTGATTCTTAACACTGATGCTGACATGCGTGTGACGCAAGAGTGAAGACATAACCTAATAGGTATACGAACTGTTCAACCCAACAAGCTGAGTTATCACATCTACTCATGCGCCACATGCGCCCGAATCCAGTATATGCTCGCCCTAAAGCCTTGTGGTCACCTTCATATTGGGTTGACTCTTAGATACAGTTATCCAGATGTTACACTAGTTGTGTTTGAAATAACAGAGTGATATACTTATAACTGGATAAAGTTTCGAGATCAATTTGTCTTTGATAAACGTATCACTTATGCCATACGGTTTCATAATTTGCTTTGAATATTCTTCTCTACTCTTTGTTTGTTGCAACTCTCCATATCTCAGGCATAGACTTCGCTTGTACATAAGCGCTGTTGAATCTGTTGACAAAGATTCAGTGATGAACCTTTCTTCTCACCTAATCGTATTTCTTTTCGGTAGTTCCCCCCTGTTTCACTCTATTGTGACTAAATGCAAGTGAATGCAGTACAATGGCGGAGACTTTTTCTAGGTTATCTAACTTAGCGGGTTAGTCATCCTAGATCTAGCTAAACTTTTATGTAATTGTGAGCAACAAATTGATCTTGGAACTCTGTCCATTTGTTAATAGTGTATACGTCATTTCAAACAAACTTGTCGAATTTGGAACTATATTCTACCACAAGGCTGAAGTTCTACACTTACAACTACCTAGAATTAAAGAATAAATCATAGACAAGTCAGTTTGTAACACTGGTCCCATTCTTGCAGAGACATTTCTTATCTTGTGCACAATATGTGCTTGTTTTTATATCCGTGCCGGCGATGTAGACTTCGCCAAAGAGCAGTTCACATGGGAAATCAACCATGAATCTTTGAAATGATTGTTCAGTATTCTGACAAAGCAGCGGCGTCCAAACGTCTTATACGTTCCGGATGCGATAGTGTCATTCTCAATCAAAGAAATGCTATGATAGGCGTGGTCATTCGTAAGTATCCCACGACCACAGAAACCATAAGTTAAGGCAAGAATGAGGGCTAACGTGTAAGTAAGCAATAAGGACTCTTTCCTAGGGACTATATAATCATCACAAAGGCCCCAGTAGGTTAGACTTGTCTTGGGCAGCCTGTTCTTTGGTGAAACCCATTCATCATCCGAGGGTCGAATACTTCCCAACTGAAGCACCCAGTGGAATCCCACCTCCGAGATTTCTGTCAAGTAATGCATTATCGGTGACTCGGTATTGCAGTTCTTCTCTAATGACATACAATCAGGTCATTGGGAGCCACATGCCAACTCCAATAATACAAACACTCACGGAGGTTAAACCCCACTTTTTTTATCTGGCCCTCCTGAGAAATAAAACTGAAATGCGTTTGGTGGATATTAGAATCATTATGTGTAGTGTTAGGACATTTGAAGTCAAGCCTTATCACCGTCATGTCAGTGTTCGAACCCGCAATGCACTAACAGATATTTAGGCACGTGGATTAGCATGTATCATTCGACCAAACATATTAAGCTATTGGCTGTCAACAACGTTGACCTAGTACGAACGTTCAGTTTTTAATGTCTTATGTTCAATACTATTTGAGCACCAGTTGTGTAACACAAAAGCACCAGTCAACGGTGATCATCTTCAAAATGAGTCATTTGTAGTAGCATTTGATCTTCTGGCATTACATACCCAAATACAACTTTTTGTCCGCTTTTACTTCAGCTTACAACTCATGTTTCTCTACTCAGTGAATTCTATTTGTACCGAAACTCTTAAAGTTTGATAAGCGCACCAAATGTGGTGAAAATAGACTGAAAGAGAATAAGACATCCCATTATCAGCAACCAAACAAAAAAAATCCTTTGGGAACTAAAAGTCATCCATGACAGGCTGATAGGCGCATTACATCTGACACAACACATAAATAAGCATCGTCCTAGCTGGAGATGTGCATACTTCATTTAAAGCCTTCTGATTGCTCTTTCCTTCACCTTTGAGATTTTTGGTTGGAACTGTAAACAAACAGTATTTTGAGTTCTCAATTGAAATTAATCTTCAGAACTACTTCCGGGTGACCAGGTATCCATGGATGATACTGACAAGTATTGACTGTCATCATCTTAAAATTTACAGTAATGACACAAAGAAAAGCCTCTAAAATTGTGTTATGTAAACACTACGACATAAAGAAGCCTTTCAATAAAAAGTGAAGATAAAAAACCCAAAAAAGAAACACAACGAAGTACAAATTTCTTAAATATACAGTGATAAAAAAATATTATTGATATAGTTAGTATACAAGGAAAATATTCAGCTTCTTGAAGCTCACACACGATGTGACACCCACAACAACCACTCGTCATGGACGGGATGAATCCAGCCATATTCAGTGGCCGAGGTGAACACTGGGTAGAATTAAAAGCTGAAAAAAAGTTTTAGCGAACTCAATTTTGAATAATCTGGTTGAAATCAAGTTATCACTAAACACATTTAAATCAAACATAACAAAGTGCAATACAATAAAACATCTTACGTCTCCTGCTGCTTTTACACACAAGGCGTCTTAGCTACAGACGCCAAACCGTTCAGCCATGCATTACAAGTCAAAATTTTAGCGTTCCAATGTTTTTAATGCAGAAGCTTTGTGTACTAATAAGTCGTTAATCTGGGCGATTAACATCTATATATGATGCGTGGTAAACATTTAGGAAGAATTCAGTGAAACGTATCACATTTTGGTTTGTTTCCGAAATCAAGACAAAGGAATACGCGTTACATGCCCACTAGGTGCAAGACTAGGGTATCGACACTAGCCACTTTTGAGAAGTACCATATTCTTGAAACAGATTTTAGAGCAGTATATCTTATTAGGTTGTAAACAATAATTTTGAAACACTTTGAAATCCAAACTTATAGGTGTAATCACCGCCAAGTATAACAGAAGGGAAGCTAAGTAGGTGTTTAAGGAAAATGTGAAATCCGAGTCATCATCAGTTATTGGACAGCAGCAGATTATAGGTAATCATAAGTGCGTCTGAAAGTCGCCCCGAAGTATACAGCGGAAAGTAAGAGCAATTAAAGAGTATAAAGCAGTCGTACAAGAGTAGACTGCATTTATTCGCTGGAGGAAATGAAATTCCATGCCAACCTAACCTTTCACGGACAAGATGTATTTGAACCGTAACAAGATGTGAACCAGTGATTTTCAGGTCCTTTTTGCCAAGCATTACAGAGTGAGGCGACCAATATGATTGCCATGCTAATAACTAAGATTGTCAGAGGCCGGCAGTATCTGAGATACTGTGAATGAAAACGGATGCTACTAATCTAGCAACTGGGTACTGTTGCCTAGATATTTGGGGTTATGACTCACTAGTGACAGCGACCACAGCACATCCGACGAAACTAAATATTCAGGTAGTAATAATACATCGTCAATACAAATCCTTGGAAAAACTTGTGTTGCGAAAATGTCACCCGTAACCTGAGTCGCCTCAGACACATTTCAAGTCAATACAGCTAATCATGTTTAACAGAAACTTCATCCCCGTCAGACGTCTCAACTAGGATAACAATGCGCTCATTTAGAACCAACAAACTAGTAATACTACTACTAACAGTTATACGTAAAGGACTCAGCTACCAAGATCAAAAAATTGGAAAATGCAGACAGGATACTTCAAGACCGCTTCACGTAACTACTTTAAATGTAACAAAAATAATCCGTCTCAGTAACAGGCAAAACAATGACTGGAATGTGCAAACTGGTAGTGTGCGCTCATATGGAACTTACCACCACTACCAATCACAGTAATTAGCTAGTTGAAACCACCAAGTTATTGCTTTTAGAGTAGACTGAATGACTGGTCCAAAACTTTGAGTATATTACGAGACAGAGTAAAGAATATGACATTCATTTGCTTATCGTATTTCCAGCTTAGCCATTAACCATATTTATAGCGAAGTAACATGCTAAATTTTGTCTAGGGCAAAATGTAGTGACATCACTAAGGGCCCGAATACTGACAAGTACGGAAGCATAGTGGATGGGCACAAGTTCGCCACCTCTGTGAGCATGAAACTACTTGCGAACGCATTAGAAGCTGACATTAAGTAGGAAACAGCAGTTAGTCTCTAGCTTCTGCCTACTGACGAGAACGTCAGGCATCCACTAGGAACTATCTAAAAGGGTTTATATGATGTTAACACTTATGCTTTGAAGCCTCGTGAAAGATACGATCATCATAACTTCCCGAAAACCTCACCTGGCATTCCCTACCGAATTTAAAGTGAATATTTCAACAGGCCTACTATGCCTATTAATATACCTCATATGCTTGGCTACTATGCATCAGTTTTGTATCTCTGGGTGAATTCCAAAAGCCACTTTCAAATTGAAATGAGGAAAGTGGCAGACCTAAGTGCTTTGACCAGCAAAGGTAACATTGTTAGGACGGACTAACTACTATTTCTAGCCGTAAAATCACGAAATGTCCCACGGCACCTTTACCTAGTTATTTCACAGAGAAGAGCCCGTCCCACCTCAACTTCCAAGGGATTGTTATGATATGTGGTGAGTGACAGACTTAATGTCCTCAGAAATACATCTGGCACGAGCTGCAGGACTGATTGAGGCTTATGCCTGGACTAAGCATATAAAGTATCCGTACGTGAAAAACACTAAAGTGTGAGATAGTCTACAGCTGTACCTCCGTCGCATCACCTATGTCGAGTGAAAAATGCAGACCAGTAGAGATTATGCGTAAAATTTTGCGAAAGTTTCAAAACCAGTTTGCGAGTTGGCGCTGACTGGGACATGTGATATAAAAGGGTGTTTCTGTACTAATTCGTTGGTCCATCTGTAAATATTACGAAGTAGCGATATCCAATATACAGGACAACCTAGAGGGTGAAATACAGTCGCCCATGCGTATCATTTTACACCATCACAGAAATTATCTGCTTTAAGTTTGTATTTTATCCCGCACCACACAGTGATGCGAAGCGCACACTACATAAGTGACCAGAAACAGCACCACAACAAATGCAGTTGGAATGTCGTGTCACACACCAGTCGACAAATGATGCACAGAACTGTTAGGATAGTAGTTGAGCTGTTTCCCTGTGATATTAAAGCAGTGATGAAAAGTGCCCAACTCAACATTCACTGAAGGTGAGCTTAACCAGCAGTCGGAAAAACTATGGAAACAACAGCCAGTAACCAGATAGCTTATGCAGATTGATGGAACCAAACAAATCTAGAGACCATATGTCATACTACTGATCATTTTCAGGCAATCACAGCAATAACAAATTACACGGCTACGTAAACAAATTGAAAACTTGTTGGTCCTTGCAAATTACGGTAAATGGCACTTAAATGCGTAAAAGTTGTATCTAGTCTACATAAACGTGCTGTTTTTTAAAAATAAGTCAAAGATTCGACAACGAACCATATAACCACTTGTTGTGTTTCATAGTCTTTTGGGAGGTGATTTGTGCTACAAATTAGTCCCAGAAACACCAGATTTCCCAACAACCGTATGCGGCTGATCCTAGCTCAGTTTCTAAGGCACTAGCAAGCCGAAAGCAAGATGGCAAAATAACAGCATACTTCTTCGACTAACTTTCAATTTTGGGGGAAGGAATGCGTGTACTTGTCTTCACAGACCAGACCTACATTTCACAACTGGTGGATGTAACCAGTCGTATGGCGTGGCTGCACTCCAATGTTAAACGCCAGAATCAGACCCATAAATGAACAAAAACCCTCGCAGATGTTCGTCATCTCAGCAAAAAATTGTGCTTTTACTCGCCGAAAATTATCTAGCCACTAGTGTTTACAATACTCATCTAAATGTGTAATCTCGTACTAGGTTTCGAAGCACCACCGTCAAGTCACCCCCTCAACTTTTTTGAAAGCTGGTTAGCACTCAGTCTCCGTGATACATGTGTCTCAACGTCGGTTACACGCCGCTAGTGCTTGACAACCCTCCCAAATGTGCGCATTATCAGGTAACAATTGATGCCCATATCTATCCTCGTCGTTCTTAAGTACACATGTACCTAACATCTACTTTTTTCTAAGTTCCATGAGTAGAAACCTGCTACTAACGGAAGGCATTATACTGGTTCTGAGTGTTCAGCGCACCCGTAGAGCACTTAACCCTGCAGCTACCTCCTGAGATGTACTATGACAAGTAATCATAGTACTTATTACCAAGGACATCCAGGACGACTGCCTGTAACAGCTTTCTGTTGAAACGCTACTAGACTAACAATTATGCGTCTCGTGACAAAGATAGAATATATATTCCTCACTGACATGGCTGTGGACAACTTTGGTTGGGGGATCACAGTCTTGGCTAAGATGTCAAAATGCGATATACATTTGTAGGTGCAACTAGTATCGACATAATCGTTGCTGTTTATGTGAGCTACAATAACCCGGGGGAATGCGCTATTGACATAATAATCGGTGACTGTCTCTGTGAGAGGACTTGAGCTTTACGCGACTTCTAACTTTTATATGTCTTAAATAAGCTCTATGCCACATAATCGTGCCGCTTACCCTGTCCATATATTCTCCACAGCAACCCAGATGACAACAACGAAACCGAGTTCTCTGACCAGTCCAGAAGTAGATAACAACGAAACTGAAAGCATAGACGTCAGAAACACCTATTAAAACAACTGTTTCAAGCCATTCAATTTCCAATGTCTAAGAAAATTTTCGGGAATATCTGCCTGCGGATGATTTACCTTCATTTCTACTCATTCCATGCACTATGATTTGTATATATATATATATATGTATCACAATAGCTGACATCCAAGCGCTCATTTGATGAAGAAGTAGTCGCGTAACTTAGCGATAATTTTAAGATGAATGCACCCAGAAGGATCGATTTGTGCTTACCAGAAGTGGAACAAGCCTAATGCTCCACAGTTTGAGTCTCTGAATTTATTGCTTGGAAGTCTTTTAGTAGGCTTTTTTCATATATATCCTAGCTTAGACCTACTCTTAATAGTGAAAATGTCTGTATAAAACAGCAGAATTATTACAAAAAGTGTCTAATGTTTTCCAGGCTAAAGCTGACTTGCGACGAACTATTCCTGATGAAACTCATTCCTCAGTAACCACAAATGCGAGGATACCTGATCCTGTGGGGGAAAATCTCGGAGTTTGGTATGATGAGTAGGAAAATAGTTTAGCCTAATCAACATAAAGTGTGGGCACAACATATACAGGAGATTGTGTTTTCAGCTGAGTTTTCGCATTAAGAAAGAGGTGCGAGAACTTTCACTCCACCGCTTTCCACCACAACGCATAATTTCTAACAGTGAGAAGTAATATACGGTCCCCTAAATTCTGATAGTAAGCGTGGTTATTTTAAAATGAGACAACCGGAGGTAAATATTCACCTCAGTTAACGTACCACGTGAAACTGCGATTGGTGAGCGGAACAGCGGCAAAGAGTACAACTACTCAAGGGTAAATGAAAGGTGATTTAAGAATATGTGCAGCAGGTAGTTGATGCTCAGGATCGTGATTTCAATTAGGGGCAGTTAGCACCCATCGCACGTCGGACTACAGAGATGCAACAACGAAGAAAAGTGAGCAAGGACCATATATGAATAGGCAAAAACCCAATGATCTTAGGAAACGTAGTGAAAGTTAGCTGAAAAACAGAGACACTTGCTATAACAAGCCAGCGGAACCAATTCAGATCACCCGAAATACGAATGTTTAAGTCGGCAGACAGACCCACAAAAATAACCATCAAGCCAAACCATGTCTTAATCTCTAGAGAAAAGGCGACAAAGCAAAGAAATGTAGGCAACCACGCATCTGACTGGAATAACCTCGAGAACAACAGGGAGAGATATAACCCCTTCTCTGACAGTATCTACTAAGAAAGGGTCTCGGATAGTCGTATATTCTGAGTCAAGTACTCCAGGGGAGACTACATGGATGATGCAGCTGTGTGACAATTTCTGTCTCTGTATTGTTTCAATACTTACTGTTGATTGTTAATATGTTTCTTATATGAATTGAATAATAATTCCGCTAAATACAAATTCCTGAGTTCTGCCCTCTCTGTGTTTTGGTTGGATTCGTGTAATTCGGTCATCTCGAAATACTAATACTACTACTACAATAAATTACTACAAATTGGCGTCGCGATGGAACTAAATAACCTGGGAAAATTTCCTATTGATGGGTCTCCGCGGGAGATTGCTGATTATTTGGAATGCTTCGATGCGTGGTGCATTTCAAAGAATGTTCGGGATGACAAAATACCAGCACATTTCATCACTGCTATTGGGCTAGATGCGTATAGCCTAGTAAAGACTCTGTCATTTCCAGAAAAACCAATTTCTCTGTCATATGTCAAGATTCGTGAACTTCTGATAAATCACTTTCATGTAACTACTTTTGAGACAAGAGAGAGGGCTCAGTTCAATGAACTGGTCCGTGCTCCCAATGAGAAGATTAGAGACTTCATTCTTCAACTCCAAATACAAGCTTCAAATTGCAACTTTGGAGATCAGCTGCATACTCAACTACGTGATCGTCTAATTGCTGGAATCAATATTCCTAAGTTAGAGAAAGAGTTAATTCAGATTTCTTCTTACACCTTTAAAACTGCTAAAGATTTATGTATTGCATATGAAGATGTCAGTATCTGATGTTATGCTTTCTAAAGTCGAAAATACAAGTGTTCATGGAAAGCAATCCAAACCGTCGTCCACAGGTAATAGAATGCAGCGAGAGATCAAAAACATTAAACCGTGTTTTTCCTGTGGAAAGTTACATCTACGAAGCACTTGCCGTTTTCGGGGTGCTAAGTGCCATAAATGTGGTAAAGTTGGACACATCAAGACTGTTTGCAGAAGTTCGAATACTTATGCTGCTCAACATTCTTATAATTCTCCCAAGCTGTCTAGTAAAATGGAGTCAATGTGTCTTTCAACTTTTCAAAATACTCAATCTCATCCAATGAAAACCTCCACTACAAGTTCGGCAACTCAAGTGTCAACTGTTTTCAAAAATGTGGTAGCCGAGTTACAATGTGAACTGTCGAAAACACGAAAAAACTGAATGAGATGAGAGAGCAACTGATTAAAATTGAGGAATTACTGCATATGCATAGACTGCGTCTGTTGAATGCAGAGCATACAATTACCCGTGAAAGTCCTGCAAAACTTTTCAAATCTCGAATTCTCAAAAAGCATCTGATGTCCACGACTTCTAATGTACATTATTACAAAGGGAATGACTATAGACCTTCTGTTGGAATTATACTACAAAAAATGGGAAATCGAGTGGTGAAGATATTAGACATCAAAGATCACTCAGTTCATAACGGACACCTGGACAAAGTGACAATAAATGAAGTAGGTCGTTCCAATTATAATTTTAATGATTCCGCTACTAATCCTGATTTTGTAGATAATTCAGAAATAAGTCCAGATAATACTGATGAAAATAATATCACAGAATCAGTTAGAAGGTCGCAGCTACTTGCAAGCAAACCGAGACATCGTTATAAATACGCAAGGAGACATTCGACGTGTGGCGGATGTGGTGATTGACAATTTCTATCTCTGTATTGTTTCAATACTTACTGTTGATTGTTAATATGTTTCTTATATGAATTGAATAATAATTCCGCTAAATACAAATTCCTGAGTTCTGCCCTCTCTGTGTTTTGGTTGGATTCGTGTAATTCGGTCATCTCGAAATACTAATACTACTACTACAATAAATTACTACAAGCTGCTGCGCTCACTGTCACGCCAAAATCAAGGGATGAACTGGGACGATGGGTGCCCCGTCAGGCTGCGGCCTGCCAATAGAACCTAGATCTCAATTATAGAGCACAGAACATTCATCTAGGACTCAAGCGACAGCTTCCATAAGTTTCGCTGTCACTAACCCTGACCTAGTGATTCATGGCATAGACCCCTCTGAAGGGCATGACTTACCAGTGGACAGCTGGAAGAGAAGATTTGCAACTAAATAAACGTTCGGGTAAACGAATGGCTAAGTGAGTGGTTGGCATTCATTAAATCTGGTTCAATCTCCATCAGTGTCAACTAGAATGTTCCAGAAAACTCTGGCGGAATTTCCAACTCTGATGGCTACCCTCCACAGTTGGCCAGAATATAATACATATCGTAAGAGCACATGGTCATTTAGCTTCGGTCAAGGTAAGAAGGTTGGTCCAGGACAAAGTAGAAATCCTGAAGGTGAGATTCCACTAGGTGCTTCAGTTGGGGATTGTTCGCCCCTCGGATGGTGAGTGGGCTTCACCGATGCACACGCTGTCTTAGAAAAATCAAACCTGCTGGCGCCATTATGATGAAAATGAACGCTGTCTCGGGCCGATACCTAGTACCCCATATTTAAGACTTTACTAATAGTCTTCGAAGTGCCACATTATATATCCTGTTCTTTTCATGTTCACATACTTTCTCTTTCTGGTATTCTGCTGCTGAGCCTACTCTTCTATTTATCTTTTGGCCGAGGTAGAACAGCCCTCCATTTAAACTTAAATGAAGCTGGAATCCAGACCATTTACTCATATATAATTCTTCAAGGGTTGGCTAGTATTGACCCAGCATCCTTGATAATATCCACTGTCACCATAACAAGATGCTGTACAGCATCCTATGCAAACACTGTCAACGATCTAAAATGGTTTACATATAGCATTCTACGTGTTCATCAACTTACTCGTACGGAACAACCATGTAGCGGCAAATGGCGACCTTGGCTTACGTGGGTGCAATAAAACAAACCTGCGTTGCAATAACCAATATTAATCCGCATTCAGTACGATTCACATCTGGTGTTAATTGCAATAAAAATGATGAAAAAATCATACAAATAAATCACTCATTTTAAGTTTTTACCCAATTTGAACACAAAACAAGAACAAGCTACGATGCCGCACACAACAAAGTTGTATGTAGAGATTGACTTCAAACTTTATTTTTTTCCAAAATATTTGTAATCCATCAAATACTTACCTGGGTTTTTTGTTAATGCGAAGACAGGATTTCTATATTTCTTAATGTGCCCCATTGTACGACTAGCTATCAGGGTGTACACACAAACCAATGGCAGAGAGGACGGTAACCTTGTAATTTCACCTTAAATCAAATTCTTGCAATGTAAATTGTACTTATCCATGCCTGTACAACTAGTGTGTCCTACATAGATAGGAATAAATATATATTATTACGATAAACTTAGCACGCACTTATCACAGTATTCCAGTGACTGGGCAAAAAATATCTATAACGGCCATCACCACTTTATTCGGAATATCTGAGTTTGTGTGGATGACATTCGGTTTGCGGAATGCTATTGAAACTCTCCAAAGATTGAAGGATGGCCTATTGAACGTATCGCCGTTCGTCAAAGCATAAATAGATGACTAATTATCTCTAGACAGCATGTAAACGAACATGAAGATCATATTTCGATGGCGTTAGCCAAATCAGAAAGCCACGGCGTGATGATCAATCGGCGTAGGCGCGTTATGAGGATAGAAACGGCGGAGTTCCTAGCACAAATCACTGACAGCACTGGCATCGCATCAATGTCCAAAGACGTGGACACTATCGATACACTAACCACTACCTACTCGCTTCACTCGACTCCGCAG